TACATATGTATATATCCCACCGAAACCAAAAACACTGCAGTTTCTATGCCCCTATTTTTCGTTTTGGAATTTCTTTTAGCCTAGGCTAACTCACTAATAACAAGAACATCGGCATAGATTCCAACTGTCCCGCTTTCGGCGGGATTGTCACGCTTTTCGGAGTCGTGTCCCGCTGTCCCGCCCAAACCCCGAATTATCCCGCTTTTCAACTTTCAAAAATAAAAAATAATCACGATAATGCCAAGACTAAACTCCAGGAGGTTACTCTAAAATGTATGGCCCTCTCAGGCGACGAGCCGTGTTAATATAGTGATTAATCGATACGAAAGAGATGTTTATCAGTTTAAAATATAATATAATATATATATATATATATATATATAAAGTATATATATAAGATATATATAACGTTTTTATATTATTTACTGTGTATTTTCATGTATACAATTTATCTTTAATGTTAATCACGGTGTGTCCCGCTTTTGAACAAAAAATCCTGCTTTAAGAATCAATGTGTCCTGCTTTTGGACGTTGAGGGGTTGGAATGTCTGACAGCGGTCATCGGTTCTGCGAAATGCCTAGGCAATTAGGTGGTATATGCCAGGTTCTCGAAAATTTTCGTTTGAAATTTAGCGAAAATGGTGTCAGTTATCCATTTTACACAAAAAAATAAACGCTTCCCTTCAAACACCTCCTTCGAATAAAACCTTCTCTAGAATCGCATAGAGTGTCTATTGTTACAGCCAGGCCCGTATAGGCAGGATTTTCGATGGGGAGGTGCGTTTTACAACCGAAGTGGACCTTACGATTGGACTTTTTGAAATTTGGTGGTCCAGGAGCAGAGGCCTGGAGGGGGTTTGTGAGAAAAGCGACAAAGTAGCATTTTGAGGGTCTTTACATAATAGATTTCTCAAACACATAATTCATGAATATTTCATTTAAATTTTCATTAATTTGGGTGTTTTTGGGACCTGAAAAAGTAACATTATTATGTCCTGCACACCTGAAGGCCTATAGATAACATTATTAATATTATATGGACAATCACCGGAGACGATCAATTTCTAACAAATTTCATACCACATTATTAAAAATCAACAGTTAGATAAGCCGGCAAATATATAATGCAATGCATGCTATAGTATTTTGTGATAATTGGGAACGATTTAGTGAAATCATAGGTTTTAAAAAGTAGACTTTTTGGAATTTGGGAGGGGAGGATGCGTCCGCAGCCTCTGCACCCACCCCCCCCTGCCTACGGACCTGAATACATTATATTTTCAGCGGCGGATTCCAGGCCTAGCCTAGGTCTAGGTAGGCCCTAAAGCCTAGGCTAGGCCTGGCCTATTTAATAATACAACTTGCACCGCGCCTTTTGCCAAGAGATATATACAAGGCGCAATCAAAATAATTTTTTTTAAAAAGATAACCAATTGGGGATCAACAAAGACAATAGAAATGACAAAAAGCAGAAAATTTAGACAGTTAAGTGAGATTTATTTAGGAAAACAGTGTTTCTTGAGAAGCCGACGAAGTCGAGGCATTTAGGTATATATCTAGACTTATGCCTTGTTTTTTTGACAAGCCCGGGCACATGTACCTACTACTAGCCTTCTCCATAGCCCACTGTTTATTATTTCAAACACTTAATTTTTGTATTAATTGTAACGCTTATACGCACACCCCCCCCCCTTTCAAATTTGTCAATGGTCACTAAGGAGTGCCCAAGTGACCTCAAAATTTCATCCATTTTACTTGTTGACACCGTCCAAAAAAGCTGTGAAACTTTAAAATTCAAAATAGAGGGCGTCCACTTGAGTTGCACTGCAATTGGAGTTTTGCATTGCCACCACCGTTTTGCACTGTGACTCTCAGTTTTGCACTGTGACTCTCAGTTTTGCACTGTGACTCTCAATTTTGCACTGTGACTCTCAGTTCTGCACTGTGACTTTCACTTTTGCACTGCGACTCGCTTTTGCACTGTGACTCTCACTTTTGCACTGTGACTCTCAATTTTGCACTGTGACTCTCAGTTCTGCAATGTGACTCTCACTTTTGCACTGTGACTCTCACTTTTGCACTGTGACTCTTAGTTTTGCACTGCTGACTCTCAGTTTTGCACTGCTGACTCAGTTTTGCGCTGCTGACTCTCAGTTTTGCACTGTGACTCTCAGTTCTGCAATGTGACTCTCACTTTTGCACTGTGACTCTTAGTTTTGCGCTGCTGACTCTCAGTTTTGCACTGCTGACTCTCAGTTTTGCGCTGCTGACTCTCAGTTTTGCGCTGCTGACTCTCAGTTTTGCACTGCTGACTCTCAGTTTTGCGCTGCTGCCAATTGTATTTTGTCCTTTTGGCGTTCCATAGTACCGCATGTAAATTATAAGGTTTTTTTTCCATGTATTGCACTGCTGGTCAGCGCATGCTGTGCCACCTGTTAAATGCAATTTCCCTTCATGTGTTATGCATGCTGTTAGTGCATGTTTCTTTGCCTTAGGTACTCCCTCTTTGAGTAAAGGATCAACTGCAAAACTTGCACTTAGTATGGGCTGCTGGCGTGCCTTCCTTTACATGCGATCCGCCTTTGGCCTTATTCAGACCATCCCATTGTGATTTCTGAATTAATACCGTAACTTCTTGTTCGCTTTTAATTTTACGTGCGTTCGTTGTGCAGTTGATTTCACTTTACTCAATAAACATTATTTGTCACCAGAACCTTAATTTCAGTGTCTTTGTGAATTTATTTGATGCCTCTGTAGCAGTCAAAATGAAAAGATTGAGGGCTCAATCTTGTTTTGACTGACAGAGGTCACGTCACATTCTCTCTCTTGTCATCAGGCTTCAATCCGTTCAAGTTGATTGTATTCCAAGTAAACTTTAATATTTTCCCACCCACCCATTCCCATTTGATAATGGCCTTTTTCAGAGCATCCCATTGTGATTTCTGAATTAATACCGTAACAATTGTTCGCTTTTAATTTTACGTGCGTTCGTTGTGCAGTTGATTTCACTTTACTCAATAAACATTATTTATCACCAGAACCTTAATTTCAGTCTCTTTGTGAATTTATTTGATGCCTCTGTAACAGTCAAAATATAATTCCATTCTTATAGTTAAAATCGAGTTATTTTATCACCAAGACGAACGAACATGAATGTCAGATCATTTGAAGCCCGAGTACAATAAATGTAACGTCAACTACTTAAAAAAATGTCGAAGAGATCCTTGACCGGGCCCATAAAGAAGGCTTCTTATGGTTTTTAAAGTGAATAATTTAAGTAATTACAGCAGTATTAATAACTTTAAACCTTTATAGTTGGTATCATGATATATGTAATAATGGAGGGTTTTTTGTTTAATATTGTAATTGTAAAATTAATAATTTATCTTAATGATGATTTAAGTGTATTTTTAATCATTTGATGTTTTTTTATGTCTCTTGGTTTCCATCTTGTACATTTCAAAACTTAAATTATATTTTCAATAAATATATATTGAATTGAATTTGCCCTCACTATATTTTAATAATTTCTGATGTCCAATGACCTAATGTCTCCAAAAACTTTTCAACATGGTTATAACCACTTCTATCATGTATGCTTCTATATTTATTACTCATCAACTTCTCTTCTTATGACAGTCTTATGACCATCACACGACGAATCCAACTCTGCTCTCTGTCAGCGCTAGATGATGAGACTCTGTCTGTTGTCGGTGTCAGTCTGAATGCTGAATGGATCACCATTAAAAAAGATCTGTTGCTCGTGCATCATCGCTTTTTTTTTCTAGAATCATGTCAGCTGGCAACTGTCGGGCTCAGTGAGTACCCGGCTTCAGATATGATAGTAATATCTAACTTAACTTGTACCAACAAAACTCAGTAATTTAAAATAATATTTTACCATATAACTTACAATTCCTCTGTCTCTTCCTCCTCTGCTTCTTCCTCTGTCTCTTCCTCCCTCTGTCTCTTCCTCCTCTGCTTCTTCCTCTGTTTCTTTATCATCTGCTTCTTCCTCCGTCTCTTCTTCCTCCTCTTCTTCTTTTTCCTCCTCTATGTCTTCATTTATTTAAAAAATAAATAAATACATACTGATGATCTTTTGACCAACTTTTAAACATAACCTAAACCAGGTACATTTTGTATGCCTCTATATTTTTTCCTTATCAACTTATCTTCCTATTTCCAAGATCTGAAAACAAGTAATTTGTAATCAAATAAATGATTTATAATTACTCCAATTAATATTAATATTTTTGAAGGAAAACCGAAAGCAGACCCCTCAATAATATTTTAATTTTTAGAGGAATAGTTATTGAAAACTGTGTTCATTCTAATTGTTGAATTTTACATGCCACCAGTTTACATAATTAGTTTAGAACTAGCTGCTGAAACTGTGTAGGTTCCTCTTGAAATAGTTACAAAGGTTACGATTATCATTAGTGTTTAATACTAGCCTAGGTCGTTAGGGAAAAGGGAGGGGCTAAAAGAAGCGTTTCTTACAAAGAATTTTCTCAAAATGTGAATCAGTATACCTAATCTTGAATTTGCATTATTTTAATTCAAAATACAGTTCTTTATATATTTTAAAATGTCAGGAGCTTTTGGGAATTCCCTCTAAACCACTAGTTTTCAACAGCCGCCCCCGACCCCGCTACACTAGTCCTAACTCAGGCCTACGGCTCTTGGTGGATGCTTCACCAAACGACCCAGCAATTAATTTTGCACTGTAGTCCAGTGGATTGACCTAGAACTAATTGCAACAGAAATAAATTTATATTTAAGTGCCAATTCGA